CACGTGGGCACCGTTTTGTTGTCCCGTTCTGCTGCCCCAAAGCCTGGATACTTGATGGGGAATGTCCTTGAAATGTCCTGCCACAGGTTTGAAGGCAAATCCTGAGCATTGGCTGTAGATTGGCCTCTGCTGGCAACAGTTTTTGATATATTTTTTTCCCCTTTTTTCCTCTCTTTCTAACTTCTCCGTGAGTTGGGCTTTGTTGAGAGCCTGGATGGCTTGTGAAAAGCAATGCCATGGGCACCATCACCCCTAGGATCTGGCTGAAGTGCCTGCCACTCCAAGTGGTATTTGCAGTCGCTCCTTGCTTCCCTGGCCTTACACCCACATCAGAAGAGGAGGTGGTGGTGCAGCGTGAGCTTCCCCCTCTCTGGGCCAAGGAGATGCCCATGGGTGAAGAAGTTGTAAATAGTTTGAAGGGTGAAGCAGCCCCGAGGTATAATTTATTCCTGCAAGGAGACCTTTCCTCCTTGCTTTAAAAGCAGGATCTTTACAGCTGCATGTTCATGTCCTCCAAAGGAGTGACGGTCTTGCAGCAGATGCTGATGGGCTCATGAAGGTAAGAGCTCTCAGCAGCACATTTCCAATGCAAAAGGCTTTAAACCAAAATCCTAGACCAGAGGATAAATTGTAAAAATAATAATAAAAAAGCTCAGAAACCAAGTGATGTGGTGAGGGTTGAATTTTATCCCCTCCCTGAAGTGGCTCACAGCCAGCCAAAGGGCAGTCTCAGCTCTCTGCTCTTGACCTTCAAGGCCTTGTGGAGAGGAGCCTGGTTTTGGGTCACTTTGCTGTTCACACAGAGCTCGTTCCCAAGGCAGCTGAAGCCAGCTGGAAGGCTGTGAATGGGGCTTGGCTCTGTCCCCGTGGCCTTGTGGTGTTGGGTTGTTCCCTTCCTTGCTGGATCTTGGTCGTGCAACGTGAGAAATCCCATTGAGTGTGAGCTTCCTTTGGAGCTTGGTGTGCACTGCCTTGAAAGTGTTGCCATCAACATTGTTTACCACAGAGGGACTGGAAGCTGGCCAAACTGGTTGTAGAGCCCATGACTAGCTGGTCACCTGGCAGAGGAAAAGGAGGTCTAGGGGGATACTGATGGACATCACATTTGACACCCAAAGCCATGACGAAAACAGTCTTGAGCAGTTTGTTCTTGTTTTGGCAGCACTGAACTGCTCTGTGCTTTGGGTTTTTTTAAGCTGTACTCTAGTTGCATTTTGAAATCCCAAAGTTTTTGGCTTAGTGTGTAAGAACTGGGGGCAAATGTGGCCAACTTAGGTATGTCAAAGAAAAATATTGAGAATGAAAATGTGAATTGTGACACTCTAATAAGCACCTCCTAAAATCACAATTTTAATTCCTTTGCATCCATCATGGGGTTTTATGAATGTAAGTGGAATAAACCCTGGTCCATGCTTCCTCTTACCCTCCCCAGATACTGTCCTATATGGTACTCTCAAGTCTCTGAACTACAGTGTGTTTTTTCTGCAGAACCGCAAGATTTTGGTGAAGTTGAAGGTTTTTTGAGAACCAAATTGCTTCTCCCTTTAATGTGGTGCTGTATGAAACATTCCTGGTGGATTGTCATTGCCAAGTGAGAGATGTTGTGAAATCTCAGCATCTGTTGATAATCACCTGCATGTTCTGTTTTTAGCCTTGGAGATGACTTTATTGAGAGGTTAAGTGCTTAAAAGCTTGGAAGTGTTCAAAGCAATCCAGCAAAGAGTTGTTTTCACAATTAACTCTTTTCTTTCTCTTTTTTTTAAATGACCAGACCCAAATTTCATGAGTAATGCACTGACTGTTATCGTTAATGTCCTGAATATTTGCTACCTTTTTTTTAAAAAAAGGATTAAATTTTTGATGAAAATAGAGCTAGACCAAAATCAACTCTGCAATGCTCTGTGAAATAAACTGTCAGTATTCCCCTGCCAGTCTGATGTTGTTTTGTGTTCTGGGATCACGTGCAAAATGGTGACACCTTGACCCTTCTCCCTGTGTTTCTGCTTTCATATGCTTCATGAGGGAGCTGAAGGGCTAATCAGAGTGGGGGTTTGGAGTTGGGTCCTTCCTGAGATCAGCAGGTCAGTATGGCTGTGTTGCATCTCCTCATGATTTCACCAAGCTGTGTGGTGTCGTTGACATGCCTGAAGGATGGGAGATGCCATCAAGAGGGACCTGGGCAAGCTCAAGGAGTTTGGCCCATGGGCACCTGATGAGCACAAGGTGCTGCATCTAGGTCAGGACAACTCCCAGAACCCATACAGGCTGGGGGATGAAGGGATGGAGAGCAGCCCTGAGGAGAAGAACTTGGGGGGATTGGTGGATGAAAAGCTCAGCATGACCCAGCCATGTGCACAGGCACCCAGAACCCTCCTCAGCTGAGACCCACCTGCAGTGCTGCCTCCATCTCTGGGACACCAACAGCAGAAGGACTAGGAGCTGCTGGAAGAGGTCATGGAGATGCTCTCAGGGCTGGGGCACCGCCGCTATGGAGACAGGCTGGGAGAGCTAGGGATGTTCAGCCTGGAGAAGAGGAGGCATCAGGGAGACCTTAGAGCCCCTGGCATTGTCTAAAGCAGCTCCAGTAGAACTGGAGAGGGAATTTGGACAAGGGCCTGGAGGGACAGAACAAGGGCTTCCCACTGTCAGAGGGCAGGGCTTGATGGGATGTTGGGGAAGGAATTGTTCCCTGTGAGGGTGGTGAGGCACCAAATATTAAAAATACCCCTGCGGCTTAGGGAGCCGCGGTAGCTCAGCGCACAAGTTGCCCAGAGAAGCTGTGGCTGCCCCATCCCTGGGAGTTTACAAGGCCAGGCTGGATGGGGCTTGAAGCTACCTGGTCTAGTGAAAGGTATTCATGGCAGAAAGTGGAACAAGATGATCTTTAAGGACCCTTCCAACCCAAACCATCCTGTGATTCTATGGTTTTCTCCCATCCAGGTTTTATATGACAGAAGCTGAAGAGCACTTGTGTGGAGAGGAGGTGACTGTACAGACCTGAGTCTTGAACAGTAACTGTAGAATAATTTCTCAGGTTTGTGGCCCCATGGGGACAATGATGCACCCCTAGAATCCATCAGACAGCAGGTTTAAACCAAACAAATGGAAACCAATTTATTTGTAACACACATTATGCAAGTCATTGCCCCAGGGTGCCTTGAAGGCCAAAACCCATAAGCAAGTTCAAAGAGGAATAAATGGCTCATACGTGCATTAGCACTTATTAAACACAGGATCCAGCTTGGAAAGTCCCTGAACAGTTCTTTGCGAAATGTGTATATAAAGGGAAAGTCTTTCTTGGTGCTAGCTCTATTTTTTATGTTTTTACCCCAGGATCTGCTCCCAGCTGCAGATGGAAGGTGCTTTGGGTGAGGGGATCTTGTCTAGATCAGCATGTGACTCGATGATCCTCATGGGTCCCTTCCAACTCCGAATATTCTGTGATTCTCTTCTGTTCTTTGTTCAGTAGCTGTTTTCTCCAGGCCCTGAATGGCTGCATTTAACTGATAGTTGAAAGGGATTAAAGTAAACACAGCACTATCTCCCTGGTTGGGGATGGGTAGTCAGTCCTGTGTCATGAATTTAACTGGCTCTGGGGACACCATGTGAGTGTTCAATGTCCAAATTGCCCTAGGGGAAGGGGTAGAGATCCTGATAGCCACAATATTGAATAATCCCTAACTGGGGGCTGTCGTTGCTGGA